TCGGAAGATCGCAACTTTCGTTCACGTATTAACCGAGCTAGTTCTACAGCGCTTTTCGTCAGCAATTCTTCCTGCTCCTTATTTGGCGGCACAGGTACCCTACGGGCCACTCCCAGAAACCATCCAAGTACAAATTCTAAAACTCGATCCAAAATTATATGTAGAAATGGTACAATAGTGGAAAAGGACGCCATTATCCAGTTGATGGCAGATGACACGGCAAATTTTCAATAATCGGTTGATCGTTCAAAGACTCGCTCTGTACAATTAAAATATGATAAAATATTAGGTAAGCAAAGAGAAAATCAATAAATTAAATACTACCAGATTGCTTAACTGCATACGTAGCTATATATAGATGTATGTAAGACTGTTTGCTTTGCCTTGCATAAAGCGAAAAATTAATAATGGCACTTATCTTGCACGTTACTTCCTATCACAGGTAAACGACCGGTTTCACTCTGCTCAAGAAAAAGAAATGATAATATGAGATAATGATAATTGGGAAATTAGGACTTCATTAGTGGACAGTGATGTTAACATGCCTCTTACGTACCTTATTATTTATTATTTTTACTTTGTATGCCCTAAAGTCCAAGGGCCAATACGCGAATAAGATAAGTAGTTTGAAAAATATTGCAGACTGCGGTTAATTTCTGATTAGTAATTAGAGGTTTGAATTATTGGCTGATAATTAGAAATTGTCTTGTATTTGAAACATAGGAAATTACATATATACCTAAGTAGGGCAACACTGAATTGGTGAATTCGCCGCAATTTCCCGTGGAACTGTCGCCGCAGTGTTGTTTCGTGTATGTTGATTGATTTTGCTACTGTTTTGTTTCTTTTGGTCAACGCATAATAAAGTAATCGCTAGGGGCTAGTGCTTTTAACTTATTTGTAATAATTTAAAAATAAATGAGTAAAATCCAAGCAAGTTGAGCGAATTGTTGTGAAATAAATTACATTTACAGCAGGTAAGTGTAGCTTTACTCAATTTAACTGAATATATACATACATATGTATGTACATATGTGATTTTGCGGAAGTGGGGGGCGGCGGAAAACTACTTACATTCAAACATACCTATGTGCATGTTTGAGCTCATCCATCAGGTGCAGTTAAACGAGTTCCCTGATTGTATCCAATACATTTTTTCCATGCGAAACTCATTTAGCAGATTCCATATGTGACAACTCTCATGCAACGCCAAGTATGCATAACTGAGCTAAAATATGCATAAAAACGCAGATCCATTTGTACAAATATATGTATGTTTACAAAGCCATACATGGTATAAACAAAATAAAGGTGTTCCATTTGTCGACACCACCTAATATAATGTAAATAGTGAGTGTCGAAGCTAACTAGAGATGTATTAATACATGTCGCACTCTGAATAAAAAAAAAGTCACAACTTAAAATTTTTCAAAATCGATTTTTCCCCATAAAAGAATTCATGGGCCCTATTTCTATAGTCGGTAAAAGTGCACTTTAGCGAAGGTAGGTCAAAATCAACGGAAAAAATTGGAGAGGGGTATCAATCGACGCGTCTTAACGCCAATAATAACAATCCGAGACAGGAAATTAAGATTTTTAATTCATTGAAAAGTTATTTGCAAAAAACACTTGCACTTTCCGCACTATGTTTCGATGAATTTCACACAAATGAAAGGAAGAAATGAACTTAATTTAACACGTATTTATTAGTTTTTATACATTTGTGATGTTTTAAGTGTACACTTTCGCGAAATTCTGTATTTAATAGCAATATTCCGATGATGAAAATCCGCACAATCTTGGGTAGTTATTATAAATAACATGGGGAAAAACTAGTCTTGCCACTATTAAAAATAAAATGGAACTAAATTGCTGCTGCCACTCTATTAAAAATGTTTTTGTGCATCGAACACCTTTCTGCGTAGGCGGCCTTCGGCCGCGCTTAGGGATTATAACCCTCAGGCAGTAGAATTCTCCTTTCTGTGGTCCAAAGAAGGGGGGCTGAACACCTTTTGCAGTGAACACCTTTCTGCGCAGGCGGAAAGTGCAAGTGTTTTTTGCAAATAACTTTTCAATGAATTAAAAATCTTAATTTCCTGTCTCGGATTGTTATTATTGGCGTTAAGACGCGTCGATTGATACCACTCTCGAACTTTTTCCGTCCATTTTGACCTACCTTCGCTAAAGTGCACTACTACCCTATAGTCCGCCAAAATTTCTTCTCATTATTTTTCTTTAACTGGAAAACCCCTACTAACAGGTCTCTCTATTCTGCGCTGGTAATAAAAATTTTGTAGCCGGTAAATAAAGTTCCTGTAAATTTTAAACCATTTTCGCATTCTGGGTACTCTTGTAACCGATAAATTTTGTTACCATCTCATAAGCTGGTAACAAAGTATTGCCCCGTGAAATATTCCACAAATCTTCAGAGCTAAATTGCTGAATACCAGCGTACCTAGAATCGCGGTGACAAGAACTAGTAAAATTTTTTGGTAACAAAATTTTCCGGTTTCAAAACCTTCGGTGACGTGCAGGATAGACCTGTACACAACCCTCTCCCCGGTTTCATCTCCTCTCGCCAAACGAAACGTGTGGGGTTTTTCAAAAAAGGACACCTGTCAACCCTGGTTGTGACAGTTTTTGATTTAGGGTGCGATATATACATAGTGCATTTAGAAGGATAGATTACGTTGCATAAGAAGCAGTGAAAAATCGTTATATTAACTACCTTGCCAGTATATATGTACGTATGTATGTATATTTACATATGTAGATATGTATGCAATTCGTTCTTACTTACATACATATATATGTATATGCATGTACTTACATATGTGTGTGGTTTATTTACAAAGTGCTAGTACAGTGCAATCCGGTTATAATGGCTCCACGGGACCGCGTCAAATTCAGAAATAAAATCAGAATATAATATTTTTAAATAACAAAGAAAAATATATAAGTATGTATAAATTTAAAATTGTATACTTATCATGCAAGGAAAATGCCCATTTTTCGTTCCGACATTTTTCTTAAAGCGAGTTCATTGTAAGTGGATTACACTGTATATACAAACATATGGTCGATTACACTGTGCGACAGCCGAAACCAACCCGGACTTTGTTAACATTTTCCGAAAGTATACCCATTCAGTAGTAAAAGACTCGATGGATTTTGAAAAGTTAGCGTATTTTTATTTTATGGCTACTAAAGTTTTCATGTCACGGCCTAAGTAGTTTTTAAAAAATAAACATTGAGCGATATTAAAGGTTAACCCATACCAAGTTTTTTTGTTGATTTTTTATTTTAATTGTTTAGAGACTTTTACGTTGGTTTTAAGAAGCTTTTGCCTGAGAATACCCCTAGTAAAATTCCCCGAAGAATAATTTTCTAGAATATATCAATCCTATAACGACCTTCCAAATTTGCTTTTTGCGGGGTTTCCAGAACGGGTGGCAGCTAATGGGTTAAAATGTTCTACGAAAATATTTCCTATGGAATTTTACTATATCGTCGCCTGGGTAAAAGATTGTCGTATGTTAATTTCGGCAGGTTGAGGGAAATCGCGATTGAAGTGTGGAATGCAATTTCTCAAAAACGCGAGGATAGAATTTCTCCAAAGTCTCAGAAAATTTTACTAGTTCGCTAAATTCTTAAATTATTTATTATTTGATGTTTATTGTTAATTAGTTTTGAGTTTATGAAGGATTTTATTTAGTAAAATTTTGTCGTAAGCGTCATTTGTCCACAATTTGGCAGCCACATTGTATGAAATACGACAAAATGTGATCGAAATTTCTACTAAATTAACGATACTTTATACTCAATATCTCGAAAACTATAGGAGATATGCAAAAATGGAGAACGCCATTTTTAAGATATTGATTAGTTTAATAAGACTGCACCACTAACTAAATTTTTACTAATTTATAGAAAAAATTTTAGTCAATATCTCGGAAACTAAAGGATAAAGATATCTAAAAACAGATAACACCAATCGAAAGACCTTATTTCAAAATATATAACTGCATCTATAACTAAAACTCGTCAAAATTGCGCTTACGACAATCTTTTACCCAGGTGACGATATACATATGTATGTCTTAACCTATAAAAAACCCTATGAAGCTGGCATTTCAGGGTACTATTTTATGTATATATAAGGAAAATTTGAAAGTTAGGGGGGGGGGGGTAGGCTCAAGCACCCCCCTGCCCCTACCTGGCTACGCCCATGCATATACATATGTGAGTAGTCCACTTGCAAACAGCTTTTTATAAATTAAAAAAAAAACGTCGACGACAACAAGTAATATCCAAACTGTATATTTTTTATTACCTGAAAATGTGGATAAATAATAGCCTAATAACATGACAAAATAAAATTGCAGTATACTATAGTTTTTGCAAATGTTATAATTAAAAATTTAATATAGCAAGTTTTGAAACAGTAACTTTTACATACATAGCTAGCCTTTTTTTTTGGCTTTTCGCGTTCTCTCCTCCATGAAGATTGGTCTGCTTCTTTTTTATGGCCTCTTCCACAAGGCGCCGTTGTAAGTTCATACGAAGAGGAGACTTTTGTAAGTGTATAAATAAGTATTATAGCGACTTTTGCAAGAGCAGATAACATTTGATGCTATTTTTTTTTTTCAGAATATAGTAAGATTTTCCACTCTGTTGTTGCTGCACATGAAATTACTTTAAATACTGGTACGTTACCCACCAAAAAATAAAAATCGAAAAATTTTACATAGCGCACTTTGCAAGTAGACTGACTACTCATGTATGCATGTATAATAATGATTTTTTATTTGCATAACCTGAGCTTTAACGGTACGCAATTAAATTGCTTCATTGAACTAATTTACCACTAGTCAACAAAATAATATGAT